ATTGTTATCTTGCTGTGGGTCAAAATCATTACCTTTTATTCTGCTTAAGAAATCGGCTACTCTGTTTTCTCTTCCTCTTAAGTAATCTATGTCAAACTGATATTCTCCTAGTTTTAGTAACCATCTTTGATGCCTTGGCGAAATATCTTTCCCTTTATGTTTTGAATATAAGAATTTTATCGCTTGGTGATCTGTTAATAATTTGAATTTTCTTCCGTAGAGATATGGTCTAAAATAGTTTACACTTCATAGTATTGCTAAAAATTCTTTATCTGTCGCTGAATAATTTTTCTCATGATTGTTCAATGTCCTTGACGCAAAACAAATTGGATGCCCTTCTTGAGAAAGAACCGATCCTATGGCATAATTTGAAGCGTCAGTTGTAAGCGTGAATGCTTTTTCAAAGTTAGGAAATCTTAATATAGGGTGTGAACAAATAAGCTGCTTTAACTTTTCAAATGCTTCGATGAAAGTTGGATCTTTTGTATTTATTTTAGTATTTTTCTTTAAATATTTTGTTATGGGTTGTGCTACTTTTGCGTAATCTTTAATAAATTTTCTGTAGAAACCTGTTATGCCTAAAAAACTTTTTATCTCCTTTTCTGTTTTTGGTAAAGGTAACTTTTCTATTATGGCTAGTTTGTTTGGATTTGGTTTAATGCCTTCTTTGGTTAAGATATGACCTAAAAATTCTGTCTCCTTCTTCATGAAGTTACACTTATCGATTTGAATCTTCAAATTCTTATCCTCTAATACTTTAAATATTTCGTTGATGGCTTCAACATGCTCTTGCAACGATGTGCTAAAAATAAGTATGTCGTCCAAATACACGACACATTTTTTGTTAATAAACTCTCTTAAGATTTCATTCATTAGTCTTTGGAAAGTGGCAGGGGCATTTTTCAACCCAAATGGCATTCTAATAAATTCATATAAGCCATGCGGCGTAACGAAGGCAGTTTTTTTTTCTGTCTTCCTCTTTTACTAAAATTTGATGGTAGCCTTTTGCTAGATCTATTGTTGTGAAGTACTGGGCTCTTCCGAGTTTATCAAGAATTGAATTTATATTGGGAATCGGAAATTTATCGTCGATGGTTATTTCATTAAGTTTTCTATAATCTATTACAATGCGGAATTTTTTTGTTTTGAATTGTCTAACTTTTTTGGTATTACTAAAAGTGGACTCGAATATCTTGAATTGCTTTTTCTAATAATTCCCTGTTCTTCCATTTCTTTTATCTGTTTTCTGACTTCTTCCTCATGCTGTGGTGGGTATCTATATAGCTTTGAATTAAGTTGTTCATCTGTAGTTGTCCGTATTTCATGTTCTATTTCGGTTGTACTAGTTAGTTTATCTCCTTCTTTGAAAAAAAGTTTACTATATCGTTTTATAATTTTCTTAACTTCAATTACTTCTTGTGTATTTAAATGATCTAATGCCAAGCTATCATATTTATCTATAGTACTTTCTAATGCACAGATTTCTTCATATTGATATGGCTTATTTATTATACGGTTTTCTTTGTGATTTAATGTTAAACTGTTTCTTTCAATATTAATAACTGCACTTAAAAATTGTAGAAGGTCTATACCTATAATAAAGTTATATTTTCTTCCCTTTAGTGGGGCTAACTTCCAGCGGACTCTAGCGTTGTTTGGTAAATTAAATTCTCTAGGTGCTGTTGTATGAATTTCATACTCTATTATGTCCTTACTATTAATTGTGCTATATGATATGGGTTTATTCAGCTTAATCTTTGTGTGCCCATTAATTTGGTTGTTAACTAGACTTAAACTTGCTCCTGTATCTATTAATGCTATATATCTATGTTTATCGATGTTTAGTTCTAATAATGGTAGGCATTCCGAGGCTGCTTCATAAAAAAAACTGTATTATTAACCTCTGCCTGGTCGTAGTCATTTCTTGTTTCTGGGTAACTGTTTGTATCTTGCTTTGTTTCTAGGTTTTCTATTTCCATGGGTTCTGAATTCCTTGGCCTATACTGTTTTGACTGTTGTGAATTTGTTTGCTGATGATTTTGGTTAGGGTGACTCTGTCCTGAATTGTGTTGAGTATAATCTTGTCTGTACTGACCTGAGTTGTTTTGTTGGTATTTTTGTTGATTTTTGTTGTGACCACTTTGTGGTTGATAATAAGATCGCTTGTTATTGTTATAATTTTGTTGATAATATTGTTGCTTCTTGTCATAATTTTGTTGTTGGATATTTTCGTTTTTGTAGTTATGATTTTTCTTGCTAGACTCAGCCTCAGCGTTATACCTATTGGGTTTACTTTTCTTATATTGAAATCTAATACAACTATTTTCGTATCTACGTAACATCATTTTTTTTAGAATCTCATTTAAATTTCTTTCTTCGTATATTTTATCAAGTAAAGTGCCTTGAGTCATTTCTTTAGCTGCATTTACTAGTAAACTTTCTACGTTACTTAAATCTATGAAATTATCGTTTTGATGGTAAACTTTTAATTCGTCTGTTTTATACTTAATATTTTGTAGTTCTGCTACCAGTTCGCTTACTGTGTCTACTTTTAACTCATAAATTTTACGGTAAATTTGATGGGGTTCCGTGTCCGGTCGATACCTTAGCTTTAGGGTTGACTTGATTAGGTCCCAGTTGTCTGGTTCCGGTATATTGATAACTACATCCTTCGCCTGTCCTTGAATTGTCTTGTTGAAGATTGTCCTAGTGGCCTCTCGTCTTAGTTCAGTGTCCTCCACTCCTTGGAGAAGGTACTCCACGCTGCTGAAGAACGAGTTAATCGATATATCACCTGTTCCCGTGAACGTTGCCAAATAATTGATGTTTTGAAACAACCGTTCCTTCTGAGCCGTATTGGTGTTTCCCTGGAGCGTGACGTAAGCTTGATGTAGCTCCTCTAGTTGCCGCTCCTTGTTGATCAACTGCTCATATAATTGCTGCGATGACATTTGTGGGTTAGCTTGTGCCATCCTGCTTTTGTCGTAATATACTGCTCTCTTTTGTTTTCTGGTTGCCAGCGTTGAGATGTACTTTTTTTTTTTTTTTTTTTTTAGTTGTCAACTTATTTGTAGTTTGACTTTTTATTTTATAATGATCGATTTATAAATTTGTCGACTTATTTTTAGTTCGAATTTATCACAGAATCCTTTTTTTTTTTTTTTTTTTTTTTAAAAAAGGATCCTACCGGCTGCGCCAATTTTGTTTTGAGTTCTTTGTTTTTGAAATTAAAAAACATGGCTCAACCTCTTCAGTTAAGTCTCAGATTAGAACTGATCTTTATTCGATTTTTCTTCTTAATCCTAGTCTATTCTGGCGACATAGCCGTTTCTTTATAATTTCAGTTTCAACATGTTGCTAGACTATTCTGGCGTCAGCTTAGTGGATATGTATTTCTTTGTAATTTTAATTTCATAATGTTGCTGGTTTTTTCATCATCCTAAACATGCAACATTTAGGTATGGACTTTGTCTTTTAGTGATGAGAAATCTCTTAAAACTATGCTTATATCGATTACCTTAAATGCATATATAACTCGCGCATATCGACTTTGTTTCAAATAATCGATAACTACTCACATTTAACTGTTATCGAATAAAAGGACGTCTTAAGAGCTAAAGCCTCCAACTTTTGTATTTAGTTTAAAATTTAAGTTTAGTTGGAACTAGGGCCATTATGTGAAGGCGTTTGCATCTCAACCAAGCCAATAGCATATGTAGATCATATTTCATTAAGATCCGTTAAGTAAAACAGAAGTTATTAGGCAAAACGTTTGGCCAATTTGCAAAAGCACATGTCAGCAGCAGCGCCACGCGCACGCATTTTTCCTATAAGTGTAAACACATACATTAAAATGTGTGTATTCTTTTCTATTCCAAGAATCCAAATTGCTATTGAATTCTTAGCTGCTACTTAAGTAGAAATTTGCTATTATTTTTATTTTAGACGACTGCTTCACCCTATGTAGACGAATACAAACACAGTTCATGTATGGCTGCTGAGGGTATACTCGTTGCGACATATTTGAAAACCTTAGACCTTATTAGAATAGTGATGGCCGTGACAAACCGGAGACTGCATTTTGGAATATATACTTGATTTGACATTCCAAGATCAAAAAGTTATAGTATCATTGGGGATGTATATGCCCCCTAAATAGTTTCTATATAATTTTTGGTACAAATTCTGTTATTTTTTAACTCTATTGGTGCTGCAGACTTGGGCGAAACATACAAAATAACATATTTTTGGTGCTTAGTCTTACTGTGGACAGCAAACCGTATGTCCGCGCCAACTGGTGGTGCAAATCGGGGAAACTATGCCTGACAATGTTTTAGAGCTGGAAGCGTTTATACCGTAAATGAATAATATGCGGTTTTTAGAACCCATCTGCAACATTCTTACTTATTAGCTCTACAGTACTGCTTACTCACTATCTCAGTGATCGCCGTTAAGTGTTAGTTATAACGATTCTTTAAATTTACCTTTATCGGCTACTCATGCGAGTTATGCCATCAGAATCACTTCCCGCAGCGTCAGCCGATACCATACCATTAGCTTTATTTCCAATAACTACAGTTTACACTAAAGGTCTACAATCTTCCTTAATGTAGAAAATCCATGAACTATAAGAGTCATAAGAATAGTAAACAATTATCGCAGCCTCCGCTGCCTAACATAAGAATACATTACTATGATCGAAACCTAGAATCGTATCGTAAAAGATCCCTTAGAAGTGAATAAGAGTTCTGTTGTATTTTATGCTACGAATGTATGTATGTATTGAATCTTCATATGAAAGAAGTATATAATTCGCGCTACATAGCATAGATATCAGTTCGAATGCTGGTGGCCTAATGTCAGTTTCGATACAGTTGATGGTGGTAAATATTAAAAACTCATAAGACTTGGTCCAAGATATCTCCTAGTCGGGCACCCGACTTCAGGTTTCTTTCTTTTTAATTATCCTCTAATTAATATAAATAAATATTTTTTTAAAGGACAAACTGGCGCACGAATCAAATGAAACCCATACTATTTACCGAATTGGAAATGGATTTTAATAGTGGTTGCTATATAAAACCGAGTTTGGATATTATGCAAAATGATTTTAATAATGCTGTTTTATGTTGTACGGAGATTAATTATTTCGTGTCGACTTGGGGCAAACAGGCGAAAACACAAGAACGAAGAGATAGAAGAGTTACAGCTGGTAAGAATTTTTACAAAAAAAAATTTTACTCATTAAAAGAATATTAATATTATTAATATTATTCTTATTCTTATTGGACTAAAGTTATTAATTACTCTATTAATTACTATTCGAATACATTGATCCCGTTCCTCGATTGCTGTATAAGTGACTAAAGTTACATGTATTCCTAGTAAAGCCCAAATGCTTTTTAATATTGAATATATCGGAATATAATTTGCATAAGGTTGAGCCCCCCGACACATTATCTATGTCGCCGATTAGAGCGTCTTCACTTCGCCTAACCCCGAATGCACGTATTAAACTTCTCTTTAGATGGTTCCAATCTCTTGGGTTCTCTTGGTCGAGAATATCCCTGGCCCTGCCCACGATTTTATTTCTAATGTTCCTGAGAAGGACTTGTTCATGTAATGTCCGCTTTGATTAAGAATGAGTCGAGAGTGTTGGGAGAGCCGTCAAAAGTTTGTAACGAATGCTAACATATCGGAATGTGTTAGGGTTAAGCCTGTGTCGATTAGTGGCATATCTTCATTGCTCGATGCATAAATAATAGACAAATGTGGTGCTCGTTTCCCTACAATGTAATGTGCGGTACTGCAAAGAGTAATACACATTCACTGTATCTGGGATCTACGGCCTCAGCACTTGCAATACACTGCTGTCTCTTGTGCACACATGCGATTTCTGCTAGATTTTCGTTAGGTTTTTCCTTTCTTACGTTTTTTTTCACACATATTTTGTTAGTCATGTCACCGTTCCTACTTACACTACGTAAAAAACTAATGTTGCTGCTATAACTGCGTTCTTTAGTTTTCTGGGTTACTTTCGCGTTAGAACTCTACGTTGCCAAGTGTAAACTTATATAATTTGAAGTTCGATATTCGGACGATTTTATTTATATTTTCTTTGAATAAGCATTTCTGTGTTCGTTTTTTAATCAAAACACTTTTTATTCTTGCAGATGAAAACAAATATGAAAGAAATTATTTTCGGTATGTTGTTGAGCATAAGGACATAATCAGAGCTGTTCAAAACTTAGCAAATGGATTGTTGAGCTATAAAGCCGATATGGAGGAGTTTCAACGCGAAATTTTTGAAAAGAATAAATACCTTTGGGCTGAAGATCGAGAAGATGTTATTAATGCATTTGTCTTAACTAACCCTTTAACAGTTGATATACGAGATATGTTTTTGTACTATGATGGAATTACTCAAAGTATTGAAACAATGAGTGCTAAGCGCATAATTGGTCCCATTGAAGTACGCATGAATAATACAATGCAAAAATTAGTGGCTGAATCCAAGAAGTGGAAAGTATTGTTGGGTCAGTTGTTGAGTGTTCAATATAAGAAACAATTAGATGAAATGATAGATTTTATTAAAGAACATGATAAAATTTTACTAAAGCCAATTAACGACTTAGATGATGTACGTCAAGCCATGGCAGTGTTGGAAGCAATTCGAGACAGTTACATTGAGTAAGTAATATTAGCGTATACATATGTTTATAATTTTAAAATTATAACATTATCAGCTTATTGAATATTGAATTGATTTTTTTTTTGTTTCTCGAACTTTTGCAAAAGGGTTTTAGGTATTTATTTAATTTATATAATAAAGTCACGTTTATCAAATTTTATTGAAATAGTTATTAACTCTCTAGGAGTGTATTCAATTTGCTGAAGATTTTTTGCAGTATATTTAAGATAATTCAAACCATTTTAAGTACTAAACAAATATTTTGTGCTTATTTAAACGTGAGAAAGCGACATTGGCTGTTGCTGGCCTTTATTACATGTAAGTAATATACTTACATATCTGTAGTATTTAAACAAGTATAAAGTTTGAAAGTCAACCGGCTTAGTATTAATTTTCATTCATGAGAAAATAGAATGTGTAACCGCACTCATTTCATTATTAAGTTCTTACAAATCTTAATCCAACAGGTCTACTACCGCTCTTTAAATTCAATGTTAAGCGCCCATTGCTAGAAACTACATGCCCTCTCGTGGAATCGAAAGTAAATAGCTTTTTTTTAGCTTACCTAACATCGCCCTCCCTCAGTTTTAAGCACGAGTACTTAAAATGTGTACCTCTTAGATAGTTTTTAAATAGCTGCCAGGCAGACTAATGTGCGAAGCTGAAAGTATCGGTAGGTAGGTAACTTAGTGCCACTATAATGTCTAAGTTAGATTATGTATGGAACTACCGTCAGTATAAGATATGTAGTCATAAGATCGCTGCCAAATTTATTACAGATGTTAGGCCATGGAGAGGAAAGTTACAGTGAATCCACCTGTAGAAGACTTTTATGAATCCAAGCGAACAACCGCAGAGTACACTGCTCGAGTTATCAGTTGGAACTAGTTAAACCTCCCAATCCTATCCGCTTCTTTTCCTGTGCGATCTGGGTATTTTCTTGTAGTTTTGGGAAAGTCCCATTTAGATTTATATTTACATTTTATCTTACATTTTATTTTACATTTTATATTTCCTCGCTTCAGACACTTTCACGCAGCGAAATGTTTTGGAAATATCTCTGCTCAGTGTAACTGAAAAGAATTGGAAGCTCAAAAATATATTAATAAATTTGAGCTTAATGAAAGATAAAACTTCATTCAGCGATTGGAAGAACGCAAAACTTGACAGTTATTTTGTCTTCCATACAAATACATACATATTTTGTCTTCTTTACAAATCTTATAATTAAGGATCACTGTTTTCTGATTCGGTCATTTTATTTATGGAACTACCGTCAGTATAAGATTGTTATTAATTATAAGATTATTACAGATGTTAGGCCACGGAGAGGAAAGTTACACAGGGTATCTCCTAGTCGGGCTCCCGACTAGAGCTTTCTTTTTTGTTTTAACCTGATCCCATTGAAATGGGAAATCAGGGTGTAATGGTTATGTACAAATGTATGTAACAGGCAGAAGCAGGCGTGGCAGACCCCATAAAGTATATATATTCTTGATCAGGACGACAAGCCGAGTCGATTGAGCCCTGTCCGTCTGTCTGTCTGTCCGTCTGTCCGTCTGTCCATGTGTAAACGCATCTATAAGAACTAGAGACTTCGTGTATAGCATATCAAGTTTGTTTCAAACATAACTATTCGCATTTAATTGTTATCGAATAAAAACATGATTAAAATGCAGAGCTAGAGCCTCTTAAGAGCCTCTTCAGAGCTAGAGCCTCCAAATTTGTATTTAGTTTTATGTATATTTTATGCAATTTTGATTTTTGTTGGATTTTGGATACCGGCACCAAATTCCCCCAAATTTTTAAAATTTAAGTTTAGTTGGAACTATGGCCATTTTGTGAAGGCGTTTGCATCTCAGCCAAGCCAATAGGATATGTAGATCATATGCTGAAAATGTCATTAAAATTCTTTATTTAAAATAGTAGTTATTACACAAAACGTTTGGCCAATTTGCAAAAGCGCATGTCGGAAGATATCTCTAAAGTTTTGGCATAACAAGTGCCTGCGTTGTAGTGACGAATTTGCTTTTAAACCTGGGCTTTGTTAGGCAAACACTATTTTTAAGAATTTCGACATTTTGTTATTCCTCGAACTTCCACTTTCCATTTGGTTCGGCTGGATATTAAGGTTTTTTTGAGCCTCCATCTATAAGAGCCCTAAACAGCTTGCATTTTCCAGAATAATTTTTAATCCGGATGAGCGCAGTCGCCAGACAGCTGCTGCTGACGTATTGTTATATTTGCATCGTCGTGAAGCAAATAGTTGTGCTTTGGTGCATTGATCGCAAGTCCAATTCTTTTTACAATCTTCAATGCTAGACAAGACATTCATAGCACAGCGTGTTTTTATACACAAACTCCTTAAGCTTTTTAACAGGTTCAGCTCATGTCCATATTTTGAGGCTCGATGTCTGTGTTTTGACTCTTGACTGGTTCAAAGTGGCTCGGCTGAGAACGACAGTGGGCCGTACCTCCAGAGTGTATGCCAAGTGCGTAAGTGTCATGATAATACAATATACAGATTGGTGCGTAAGTGGGGGCATCACAGTTGGTGACTGCCAAAATTTGGCTCATAATTTGCGATGGTCGAGTATTATTTTTTTGTTTTTTTCTTAATTACTTCAAGGTAGAGAATAAATGTCGCTTTAAAAAATAACACAATGGTTAAATTTAGCTGTCTCGTTTTTTAACATACTCCCCATTAATAACTGGCAGATTAGTAAGTAAGAACTGTAAAATCACTTGAAATAGAAAATTCTGAATAAAATAGTTTTGTAAAGTGTATGTAACAGGCAGAAGGAGGCGTGGCAGACCCCATAAAGTATATATATTCTTGATCAGGACGATAAGCGAGTCTGTCTGCCCTTCCGTCTTTCCGCCCGTCCTTCCGTCTGTCCGTCGTTCCGTCTGTCCATGTATATTTTATGCAATTTTGGTTTTTGTTGGATTTTGGATACCGGCTCCAAATTTCCCCAAATTCTTAAAATTTAAGTTTAGTTGGAACAAGGGCCATTATGTGAATGCGTTTGTATCTCAATCAAGCCAAGGATATGTATATCATATGCTGAAAATATCATTAAAATTCACTAATTAAAATAGAAATTATTACACAAAACGTTTGGCCAATTTGCAAAAATACATGCCACAATTTTTTTATTCACAAATTAAATTTTCAATTCTGATAATCAATATTGATAATTTTATAATGAGTAAAACCACCTTTTTTGAAATAATTTGGTAAATTCTGTTCGGCATAGAATCGTGTAGGCGCTTTAAATAGTCCAAGGATACTTCGCTCCAGGCGCTGGTAATGGCTGATTTTAAAGACTCAATATTCTCAAATTGACTGCCTGATTGATGGACTTTACGCGCTAACCATTCCTATAAATTTTAATTTGTTAAGTGAACATTTTGATTGGCAA